GCAGAGCGCTGAAGCTGCTTGCCCAAGGCTAGAGATATAATCTGTTACAGGGTTGTAATTAGGAGCATTAGCCTGCTGGTCATATTTTGGTCTCTCTTGTCTTGTTTTTTTCCTGACTAAGAGCCCACCTGAGGCACTCTTCAGAAAATTCAGGTCAAATTTTTCAACTCTTAGGAATCTGGGAGCGATAATATATCTAGTCCCAGATTCAGTGTTCAAATCCATCTCTTCTCAAACTGGCACCACGCTGTGACCATTAAGAACTGAGACACGATAGAGGTTCTGATAGTCCTCTCATCTTAACAAATATCCTTCTAAGTTCTTCACTGAATATTTTATGTTTCTCTTCAGTATAGATTGAAGCCTGTTACAACGCAAGACACGTAACTGCTCCTTTAGTTTAGCGTTCTCAGGCTTGTTACTTCTTAGAGATTCATGGAGAATAGTTCTACTGCATTTCAAGAAAAGAGTGTGTTACCTTTCAAGGGTAGAAAGCTAACATGTCATTATAGGAATCTTGCAAGGCAAGAAAATACTGCATGGATCTTAATTTTTTTTGTGATTTTATGTTCCTTAGTTCTTTTTGGAAGATTGGAAGATGTTAGATATATTATTTCTTGTAACTCTACCTTCCAACTTCAAGTGATATTCCATGTGCACACTTGCCTTATCTTCTCTGCGCTGTTTTATGGAGATGCAGTGTGCCTCCACTCTTGACTTCCCTGAATCGTCTTTTTCCTTTTTAAGGCACCTGGAGCTGGCAACATTTTTGCTTTGTGATGCTGATGCATGCAACTTGGCAAGCCTGCCTGTTCTTGCAGAGCAGATGAGCACTGAGTGAGGCAGGAAGAACAGGTAGCAGATGTAGAATACTTCTTACATACTTCACTCTGATTCATACGGGCTGCAAGAGAAAATGCTGCAAAAAGAAAATTCAGGTCTAGGGGGTGAAAAGGAGAGGGAAAACGCATTTCAAAACAACTCAAGCTGGTGTGACCTACTGTGTATCTACTACTGCTGAACACAGGGAGAGTGAAGACAGAAGCCTGTATTTCAGTAAAGGACTTTTTGTGTATAGGAAGGCTGTTTTTCGGTCTGCTCAGCATCGCTAACATGAGACTGTCAGCCCAAGCAGAGATGCCTATGATAACAGGCAGACCAGTGCCAGTGTGGACTTTCAGAGCCAGATACACATGCCACTCGTTTGTGTTAGTAAGCACAGAAATATGCTCTCTGCGCAGGTTTTATGACAGAGCTTTGTTGTGTGAGGCTGGAGAGAGATATGTGAAAACAAAATACACCCCAGGGGATCCTGTGCTGCTGAACCATTGGAGATGATTTGGCGGTGCGCCAGCCCCCTGAATAACGAGACTGAAAATGAGCTCTGACAGGTTAGATGTAATACTGCAGGGCCAGCTGTGCCAGGCACCAGCCTCCCCATTGGCATGCCAAGGAGTTTCAGCTGCAAAGGCGTGTGCAGGGAGAACTCATTCCACTGCAGAATGGAAGCAATGACCTCCTTCTGAACTGGGACTGCTGGGGAGGCTGAATCTGGGTTCTTGATTGCAGGGATTGGCAGTCCGTACCTCTGCTGAGTCTGATCTTATGAATGGGCACAGAGCAGCTCAGGAGTGTGCTGGAGCCCTAGATTTTCACTGCAAGTTGGAGATCTGTCTCATCTGGGAAATGCCTGAATGCTGCTCAATGGTTTGGTTTTCTCCGTGCAAGACTTTTGGTCCTGGAATAAATGGCATAGTGTAAAAAAAGGCTAAAATGAAACTTTCGAGCTCTTGGATGGCTCAAGGGGAACAGTCAAACACAGGAGTGGGTGTGGATGGAAAAACAGCCCATTGAGTATTTGAACAGAGAATTACAGTATAGCTGCTGTTGTTAATTTGGATGGGGTGTGTTAGCAGAGCTGTGTCTGACAGGAGCCCTCTGTAGTCAACACAATGAAAGAGAACTGGAAGGAAATGCTTCTGCCTGTAAATGACTGTGACAGACCTGTGCAAGGAGAAATATCTGCCAGCGTGTTCATGTACACGAGGTTTATTCATTTAAATGATAAGTTTGCTAGCAAATTTTTAACAAGCCTACTCTAGTGGAAAACTCAGCCCTAATTAGTTTATTTCTCTCTCTGGACTTAAGAAAACAAAGGAGAAGAGAATATTTATTTATTTACTCTTCCCTCTCAGCCCAACTCTCTTTCAAAATGGAGAAGAATTTGCATATGAGGCCTGAATGCAGTTTGGTTCTGAGCAAAGCACTGCTAACACTGCCAGGTGTGGTGTCTGTATCTGCAATGCTAAAATATGTTCAGTTTTGAGAGGAAATGCTGCTTTATGTGTCCAGGGTGACAGTGCTCTCAGAGACTGGTAGGATGTGCAGGGGAAGCCGAGCTGAAGAAATCCTTTCATTGCCTTTGCTAAAGAGTTCTGCAACTGGAGATAGCAATGAACGATTGGAGCTGGGGCTGCACAGGAGCCCTTGCTGGCTGTGTACATGGGAACATGGCACAGGTGACTTTACTGTGCTCTCGTTGGGGACATACAGGATGTGAGAAAGATAACCAGCTGCTTTAGTGCTATTCTTCTGCAGCACCAGTGCAGCCTGTAGTCCAAGTCTTGGTATATTAAAATCCGGATAAAGATTAGGAGCCTTATGTTTAATGTCTTCTGCTCAGAATTCTGACAACCATCCTGAACTTGAGCTTCATGAGACATTTCCCAAGATAAATCCAGCTCTTCTAAGTCACCTAATCTTCTGTCAGAAGCCAGGTAAAATATTTCATGGACATCAGTGTTTAATCTCGCATCAAAATTTCTAATGGGAAGAAGGGAGCTGTGGTTCCTCCCCATGCTGTGAATGTGAAGCCTGTTCTGCTGCTCCGGTGAAATATCAGCTTCACAGAACCTCCTGCATTCCTTGCCACCAGGAAGGAATGCAAGAGGTTCACAGCAAAAACAATGCTGCGGGCAATCCTGAAATTAGTCTTTCAGCCTTTTTGTCATCCACAATGCAAGTGAAATAAGGAGCAGTTAGTTTGCAGGACATCTGATGCCCCAACTGTCTTTCAGGACCAGATAAAAGCTGCAAACTAAACATTCATATGGACGCCGCTTTTAACAGCAAAATCCTTGAAAATGAAAACTGGAATCTGAAACTCTTTTCTGCCCAGGGCTTTCTTGGCAGCTTTAAGCACACTCTGCAACCTATTCTAATGTCTAATCAGGTTTTCAGCTAAAGGAAATTCCGTTTTCCTTATGGACATAAAGAGATTTTTCTGGCTTTTTAAAGCTGTTTTCTTCTAAGAAAATATATTCAATTATCTATCCATCTTCCCTCAGATGGAGGGATGCCATTGTATTTTATGTGATTATTTTTTTTAAAGGATCTTTGCAGTGCTGTGTGAAAACGAACTGATTCTTATCTTGGAAATTGAGAATCGGACATAGAAGTAATAAAAGTCAAAATGATTTACCAGAACTAATGAAGAAATTCAGTGATGGAGTTGAGATTCAAATCTAAATCTGTTTCCTTCTCTATACCTTATTTTAGATTTAGGTCAGCTCTTTCTGGGCTGCAATTTGGGATCACTGAAAGCAGTGCAAAGCCTTTCAGGAACTTCAGATGAAGCAAATATCTTCCCCAGATATATCTGAAATAATAACATAAGAAATTTATAATACTCCAGCACACTGTATTTCTGTATTGTACTTTGATCTTGAAATGTGCTTTAGTTTCTCTGTTGGCAGTGCCAAGCCCCAGACCCATAAATAGGCACTGGTAATCATGTAATACCTATCAATAAAAAAAAAAAGTTGATGCTGCAAAGCTATTCAACTATTTCTATAATATTTCTGAGCCAGATAATTTGCTGCAGCTGTTTTGAAGCCCTCGGCTGATGCTACCTGAGCACCAAACTGTGGTCAGGGCAAAAAAAAAAAAGGGCAATTTCCCCCTTTACCTTTATTACAGCAACCTTTGTATGAGGACAGCCAAATTTAACATCCAGCATTTCTTCACAAAGATTATGAGCTTCAGCCTACAGGCAGAGAAGACAGTGATAGGACAAGGGGAAATGGTTTTAAACTAAAAGAGGGGGAACTTAGATTAGATGTTAGGAAAACCCTTCCAACCCAAGCCATTTTATGATCTGATGATACTGGTGACAGGAGGAAAGAGTTAATAGCACTTGGTGCAACATTTGCAATGCCACTGGCCCCTTACAGGTCCCTCATAGCACTGCCTCTGTTGTGTCCATGTCAGTCATTACAATACACAGAAAATTCCAGTTCTGCCTCCAACAACTCAGTCTGCTTCTCTCTTTTCTCTTCTGGCTCTGAATCCTCCAGGGAGACCAGAGGGCAGCAAAGTGCTTAAGAAACTTTATTTCTTTTCCCTTTCTTTTATTTTTCAACTTTCCCTTTGTTGCAATATGTAGTCTCTCCCTGCATAAGTCTAAAGCCTCATTTAGCAGAAGAAACCTCGTTTTTAATCCATGGGCCTATTAGGGACACAGCACAGCAGGAAACTAGTTAGACTGTTGAGTAGAAAATAGAGTTGGAATAAAATCCCTCATTCTCACTGCAATGCTAAACAATTTTTGTTTTAATAAATAGAAGTTGTTGATATTTTGGATGACACCATTTTTTCCCTTAAATTAATACCCTGCAGCGTAGGTATTGCAAGGTTTCGCAGACAGAACTTCTTGTATGTAACTCATCCCTTCGCTTGACACATATAATCACAAGGAAAACAGAGAGTTGGCATTTTTGTATGTGTGTCTTTGTTGTCTGGTATGTCTTGGTATGGGATGAATAAAAAGAGGACAAGGCCCTGGAGACTCCTTTTCACTCATTGTTTCCTCCTTTCATCTCACCAGGCCTTGTTTTAGTACATCTGTCTAGAGCCAAATTTCAGTTTGTTCCCTATGCCTATTGTTTTTTGCAGACCTATTTCTATGATTGTGTCTCAGTGCCTATTTGTGTTTTTCCTAGGAACTGAGAAATAGCAGCTGGGTGACAATGGTTCCAGAGCTGCCGTGGAAGGGCAGGGGGTGACACTGAGGAACACTGCATGGAGCCTTTTGTTAGATGCAACATCAAGGCAAGGAAGGTGCTACAAGAAATGGGAAGAGTCATTACATGCGACCAAAGGTAAAAGACTAGATGAGGCTGCTGAATTTATAAGTAATCCCTCAGGTGAGATCACAGAACCTGCCCCAGGGTGCTGACAAACCTTCACAGGGGACCACAGCCCCTAAGCCAAGGGCCCCATCCCAGGGGCACGCAGTCCTTGCCTGGGCCACGTTCCTGACTCACTGCTGGTATTTCCTGGGCTGACCTTAGACCTGACTGCTCTTATTACCTACTTCAACTACATATATTTGGCAATTTGTCACTGGACTAAATAGAACGGTGGTTTTGCAAAAGAAGGGCATTTCTGTTATTAGTGTGTATCTTGGCATGGTCCTTTGAATAAAACAGATTTTACTTTGTAGACAACTTTGGGCTGAAAAAGCTTCTGGATCAGCTGCGCTGCAGTTACAAGCATCAGTAGTTTGGGAGTCATCACAACCAAATATGCTCCTTACTGCACTATGGTTTTTATTTCCTTTTAACGTGAAAGCCTGTCTCTGTGTTAGTTATGTTCTGGAAATCACATCAAAAAACATCAGGTGGTTATGTTTTATTTTAGCTAGGAAGAAGGAGTTCCAATCAGTGTAAGAAAAATGGATCTTTTTTTTGGTCAATATAGTTATGGACACACAAGAATAATAAAAATGTTATCAATCCTCACATATATTGGACAAGAGTACCTGTAGTCAGAGTGGTATGTGTGTTGAAGGCATGTATAGAAATTGCTCATGCTCTCTAAAAGAGTATATTATGAAAATCCATTCGTTTCTTTTGATACTAATCAGTATCTGTTTATTCATCTTAATAATGACACTGATTCTAATAGTAATCACTGTCAGTTATGGTTGTCACGTGAACTGTTATAGATATTTTTCTTAATTTTGTATCATTAACCAAATACTTCAGAAACTAAAAGATGTTCTACATTCTTGAGAAGAGACCTTATATTAGGTAATTGAAAATCACATGCAGTGTAAGAACAAAGAGCGTGCATGCATTTACAGTATTTAAAAGGATAAATCTTGGTTTTGCTGGAATTTATTTTTTTCTTTTGACTTCACAGTTTTAAAATTAATTTCATATTTTCCTGTTCCATTCACAGAATTTAAAGAGAGAGAGTTCTGGCAAACATGTGGCCTTTTGGTTGGCAAAAAGATAAATTTGCTGGACAGTTTTGCACAGATATACCAACAGAGATGTGGAATGTTTCCGTCCCATAGCTCTGGCTGCAGAAGGACAGTAGCAAGGGGACTGTAGCAAGAGCCTCATTTCATCCTTTTCTCCCATCTCTGTGAGCAGCCAGCAGCTTTGTAAAGAAGTTATGGAGGTTCTTGTCTGAAGGGAAAGCTTCCAATGGTGGGTGTCTTGACACAGACCACGTTCTTGCATACCTTTTTTCCTGTTCATATAACTGTAGATGTTCCCCCTGAGGTGAACTGTCAGTGTCAGCTGTCATTGCTCCACTGGCTTCAGGGGAGCTGACAACAAATCTGTCTCAGAGCCGTCCTGCTCTCTGCAAGTCTGAAACCCATTCAGCTTTCCAGCTCTTGTTCAGCTTTCAGTCCATGAAAAGCACAGGGCTCTCATCTCCTAAATCAACCACGATTCAAACTACTTCAACACGGCTATCTTAAAAAGGAATTTCCTCTCCAAGTCTGGGCAGAATTACTTTCCACCAATTAGAGATTCAGAGCACTGAACTGCAAAGAGACCCAAGTAGGTGTCAGAAAGCACTTTTCGTGTTCTTGTTGTAGCCTTGTTAACCAACACGAGGTGGGCTGTGTAGCAGTCCCATTCTCTGCTTGATACAGGGCCACACAACACAAGTCTTCATCAGCACAAGAGCCAGAGGTGACTGGCTGTGAAGTACTCCCAAAATTAAGGGTGAGTGGAGGATCCGTATTCTGAATCGTTTGTGGGACTTAGCTGCCACTATTGCATCAAATACAAACCTGGGAAATTATTTAGATGGCATCTCATCCCAAAATAATTAGGAGTTTTTAAGCTTCTTGGTGCCCTGATAAGGCAGAACTCAACATGCTGACATTTCAAAGAATATTTTGCTGATTGATAGGTTCAAATGCTTTCAGAGGTGGCTTATTTTTTCTTAGGGGAAAAATATATATGAAGTTCCCGTATCATCTGGTAGAAGTGAAGGGTCTGTAACTTCTTTCTCATTTACTTTCAGCCAGTTTATCTGCTTGAGTCGCAACTGGATTTATTTTCTCAGGGTTAGGGCTTCTTTAAGGCCCTCTTATTCATGCTGCCTTTCCTCTAAATCAGCTGATTTTCTGGGGAACAGCAAAGAGGCCACTCAAATTATAACTCTTCAGAAGCCTTATATATTCAGTGAGATTGTTTGCGATTACTGTTGTTGCTAATTAATATAAAGAACTGTAGCATTGGGCCCAGGTGGGTTTTTCCTTACTGGAACATCTGTCTGCAAAAGACATCATCTTCTCTTTCCTGTTGCTCTGAGCACACTGCTGGCAAGTTGGTATTGGTAGAAATGGGCATGAGTTTTAACTTCACAGTATAAGCAGCCCAAACTTTCTTTTGAAGCCCATGGATGTGACTGCTTAGGTTAAAGAACGTGAAACTCAGGAGAAAATGAGCACTCTTGTACTATTAAAAGTGACTTAATCACTGGTGATCAGTAATAAATGGTGCTACTTGTTGGGCAGGGTCTGACTTTGAGGGCATTGTAATGAAGACTTTGGCAACAGGAGGATGGAGACAACTACATTTTTATAATTTAGGAGAGAAATTTCTCTGAGGAGACATAACTGGGGCTTTGTCTTCAAGGTCACCTGCTGCATGTTCCTTACTTTGTTAATTCCTTTCCTGGGGGACAGCATAAATCCATTTCATATGGGATAGGACAGAGAGTGATGACCTGAAGCTGAGGCAGCAAAAATTGAAGCTAAACATTGGTAAAATTATTCATGAGCTCTAATAGTTAGCATCAAGAACAGATCAAATGGAATAGATCTGAAGCAACATTCCTTAAGGGAATAAAAACTATCAGCAATTAGCAGTGACACGCAAAGCAGTGTTATTGGGAAGAAAATTAACATGCTGGAGAAAGCAGTTGTGTTACACAAGGTGCATGTCTCTCTATAGTTTCTGCAGTGAAAGAGTTTAATCTTCATTAGCAGTGTTGGTAGGATTGTATGGAGCTGATGAACAGAGGGTTTGGATTTGCCTAAACAACGTTTTTATCACTGCAGCAAATGCTGCCAGGATTAGCATTATTTTGATTGCCATTAAATGAATAGGGAGAGTGTTGGAAGGGAGACAAATTCCCAAAGCACTGGTTTTCTTCTGTTTCTGGAAACGAAACCAGGTATGGAGCAGATTTTATTTCCTAAAGTAAATAAACTTCAGAGTGAATTTAGTTAATTGCCATCCAACAAAATAGCCTATCAGATGAAAATTATTTCTAGGTCAGTGGCAAGATCTGTGTGAGGAATTTAAAAGAAATGCTAATACTTCCTGGTCAGGAATTCAGAAATTAGGAGACAGTAGAATTACCATTTCTCAGAAATATTGCTTTGTTGAATATGTTCAACAGAGTACATGATTGCCAGCTGTGCCAACAGAGGATTTCAGTCTGTTTCAGCCTTTGTTGATCACAGCTGGGATCAGGAGTGACTGGCATCAATAAAGCACCCTTAGTCTAGAAGTACCCATGGCCAAAATGTTTCCTTTTGTGCAAGTTCCCCACTTGGGCATTGCTGCTGAAGCTGGGCAGAAGTGACTACGTACCATTTTTAAGGTCAGATCGTGCATACCCTATTTGTAGTATCTGTCTCTTGGATTGCAAGGTGGGATGCTGGTGTCTGTGCTCCCTGCTTCTTCCAGTCACCTCAGTTTCCAGGGTCAGTTGTGCTGATTCAGCCCTGGGGGTTCTCCTTCATTGTGGGCAGTGCTCACGTTTTGCAAAGCTTTCAGAAACCATTGTCTATTGTCATATTCTGAAAAGCTTCTTTTGCATTAAGCTTATTTCCAAAGACCTAAATAATTCAGTATCACTGCTTTGAGCTGCATGTCATCACACATATTGCTGACTGCAAGGATTACAGTGCCTTGTTAAAGCCGGTCTGTCTGAATGCATGAATGACCACAGGGTGGGTGCCAGAGGGGCTGCAAGGATTGTTTCCGTGGGCATAAGTCCTTTGGTAATGCCAGCCATCTGCAGCTCACCCGGTGCCCTGCTCAGCAGAACGGCAGACAAATTGCTTCCATAGAGTATTTAGGGGTCTGCTTACCAATGAGCATCCTGTTGTCAGGATAAGCTTTGGTCTGTCGTGGTTTCCTGTCCTGAAGCTACTTTGCTCTGAGTAAATCCTGGATCATACAGCATGCCTGACTAAACAGCAGCCCAATGACTCACATCAGAGGGACATCTTCACTTAAGTGGAAGGTTAAAATCACGCAGATCAATCTAGCTCTTCTGTCCTGGAGCTAAGACAGTGTGTGCCATGACACAACCTCAGCTCAGGAGGTTTGTCTGAAGGCTGTGCTTACCGCACTAATCGTGGGTAACCTCCTCCTGTGGGACAGGGCTCACCTCACTGCTGAAAGATTGAGCTGGAAGCAGGCCAGGCTTGAGCCTGTTTTTGTTTACAGCGTGGGTTGAAATGGATTGGCAGGTGAACCACAGCAGGCTGTCCCAGACCATATCTGAAAAGCGAGGCAAGCTATAAATACAAAGGCAAACTAAGCCAGTATGTTTGTATGTGATCAAAACAAAGTGGTTTATCAAACCATTGTCTGATAGCTGAGCTGCAGTAACACTGCTTGCACCCCAGCAGTGAGATAAAATCCATTTTACACATGAAATTTGCTGAGAGTGAATATGCACTTAGTTACACAAGGTAGCAGGCAGGTGGCAATTTGCAGTAATATATTCACTTTCAACTGTGTGCCTGTGCTTTGAGATGATGAATGACTACAAAATGCAAATTAACCACTGTTAACGAGGAAGAAGAGCCAGGATACTGTTGTTGTTTTTTTTTCCTGTAGGTTTTATGTGGATCAGGCTCAGCTGGTACAGACTCACGTTTCAGTGTTTAGCAGCAAAGGCAGCGAAGATGCAGAAACATCCCTGAGCACATTGCAGGTGTGTCCCATTATTAAAGCCATCGCTCTGTCCTGTCACGTATCCCCAAAGGCTGGTGGCTCTTCTGGAGACCTTGGGCTGGCCGTGTGAGCCCAGCTGATTCCCTCAAGGAGTCTCTGTGCCCACATTAGGAGGAGGGAACAGAAAGAACACTGTGGTGGAACCATCCCATGATATTTGTACTACATCCTACTCCTCTTTTTATTATTTTTTTCTGACAGAGGGTGATATATCCTAATGGTCTTTTGTCAAATCATCATTATTCCTCTAGTTTATCATTTTGTATGCGTGAAGCTATTTACAGCCTTCCCTTTCACTTGCTTTTGTCTAAATGTATTTTAGGGCTGCTTGAAAGGGTTAAGGACAGGAACATATCCTTTTGGGAAAAATGCAGGGATGCATCTCAGACTCTTCTTTTTCTTTCCTTTCTGACATAGTCATGCACAGTTTTAACAGTAATAACTGGTCATTGTGGACAGACAGAGTGAAAACATGCAAAGAGGGACAAAATAAACATGCTGCAAACCCAGGTTTTTCTAACTAGGTTACTTAATATGGCCCTGTGAGATAACAGCAGTGTGAGAATAAGACATAAGATATACAGGGCACCACAGTTCAGCAGGAGCAAGCATGCATTTCAGTATGCTCAGAGCACTGACCTGGGAACCCGCATCCTGCCTGGCTTTAAGCAGTTCTCTGGATGATTTAATTTAGAGTTGTATTACATTCCTCAGTTCCTCATTTGTGTCTCACTCAGTGATAATTTTAATCCCCTCATGAAGCTGTTTGAACTTCTGCTTTCCTGGGGAATGAAGCCAACAGACTCTATGAATATATCAGTGTACACATTACATGCATTTTCATTTTAGGACTGCACAAGAACTTAGAGATCCTCGTGCAAGGTGGGGGGAGTGAGCTACAGCATGGTCACTGATACGTACAGCAGTGAGATACAGAAGTCTCTTCTCACTGGGTTAAACCTTAACTCTGTGTTCCTCCATTACAGTGCCTTGGAATAGCCCCAGCATCTTCTTGAAAGGTGCTGGAAGGAGACAGATGTGTTCATTTGGTGCCACTGGGTGTCTCACTGCACACCTTTCATTGTCAGCCAGCTTTTAGCTCTGGGGTCTTACAGGTAGAACTGAAGTATGGCCGTCAGGTCCGTGCTATCCAGCTTGTAAGGAAGGAGAAGTGCAGGACAAGGGGAAATGGTTTTAAGTTGAGGGAGGGGAGATTTAGGTTGGATGTCAGAGGGAAATTCTTTACAGAGTGGTGAGGTGCTGGAACAGCTGTCCAGAGAGGTTGTGGATGCCCCGTCCCTGGAGGTGTTCAAGGCCAGGTTGGATGGGGCTCTGAGCAGCCTGGTCTGGTATTAACTGGTCTGGTATTAAATGAGGAGGTTGGTGGCCCTGCATGTGGCAGGGGGTTGGAGCTTCATGATCCTTAAGGTCCCTTCCAACCCTGGCCATTCTGTGATTCTGTGATTCTAGAAATGACATGAACGGTTTGTTATTTTCTTGATGCATTTTGCTAGCCAACTAGCAAGGCTTGGACGTGTCCCACCATCTCAGAGCTAACTGCTAGGAGGTGATGGAAATGCTAATTCCCTGTCAGAGGCTACCAGGCAAATTCTGCTCGCTGCTTCATTAGAGAAAGATACATCAGGACTGCTGTGAGATCAGCAAACTGTCTAGATTTACACTCGTGATAGAATTTGGCCCAAAGAGACTGAAAAGAACAGAGGTATCCCTTATTTCATTGAATACTGCTGTTGTGCTCTGTTCAGGAGAATATTTTAACCAGGCTGCATATAGTATCGCCTGTGCTCTATGACTAATTTCTACAGCAATACCAATTTAATACCGTAGCAATTTATTGACTGAGAAAGAAGGAAATTGCTTGGTTGAATAATGGACAGAAGAACAAACCCAGGAGGTGCGTGGCAGTTTTCATTGACCAAAGGAGTACGAACTGCAATGCAATGAACAAAGTTCCTTCGAGAGCAATAAATAAGGAGCTTAATACATCACTCGCAGGTACGAGCTGCTCAGTCTTTGTAAGACATTGTTTTTGTCTGCTTGGGAGCCAGACTCCTGACATAACCATTACTTGCACGGCCTCGAGCCATCAGTTTGCAAACACAGAAATGATGCTACTGCAGTGCCTCTGCTAATTCCATCGCCGCCCCACTGCTGTGCTAAAGCGGGGGGAGAAGGCAGTCAGAACACGTGAATTGTTCTTAAAAACAATTCAAAGGAGCGGGCTGCTCGTGTGTTTTGTCGCTGTTTTTTTTTTAACACTGGTCTACTCGTGTGAAGTGGAAATGGTTTGTGCGCTCCTGCAGGTTTGCAGTTCGTTTACATCTGTTCTGAGGAACGGAGAATGGAACGTGAAAAATGAGCCAGCCCTGCTCGGCTTTCTGAGGATCCTTTCAGAAACACCGTGAAACGTCTGAATGAATCCATTAATTAAGCCTCCGAAAAGCACCGCTGAGTAACGAGCCGTAATTGCAGCTCTTCTGTACCCGAACACGCAGGCTGCTGCTCGGTGCTCTCCTGAGGCGAGGAGGGAACTGCCTTCATTTATTTTCCTCCGCTGTGGGAGATGTGACGGTGCTGCAGTGGTACTCAGCTCTGTTTTTTCCCTGTTTTTTTTTTTTTTCTTTTTTCGCTGGTGAAACGAACTGCTGGAACCAACGGGGAAACTCAGCGCTGCGCATGCGCACAGCCTCGCGGTGGAAAGTGTGAGCAGTGCGCAGGCGCGGGGCCGCGGGTCGGGAGAGAAGGGTGTACGTAGGCACGCGCTCTCGCTCCGCGCACGAAGCGCATGCGCACTGAGTGGCGTTGGAGGAGCCCGCGCGCATGCGCCAAGTCTCGAGCCGCCGGGCGGCGCGCGTTCGGTGCGTGCTGCCCCGCGCGGGAGCAGGAACTGCGCGCGCTTCCCCGTGACAGAAAAGAGCGGCGGGCATGCGCGCTGCGTTGCACGTAGCGTGTGCATGCGTGCAGTCTCGTACCAGCAGCAGAGGGCAGTGTGCAGCCGTACCGTCTCTCGCCGCGGCGCTGCGCGCGCACACGGCCCCCGAGGCGGTTGGCGCTTGTGGGCATGCGCGCTGACGCGCGACGTGAGAGAAAAGCGCACGCGTTATTTCGTGCCGCACGGTAATCCGTGCGCCGGCCTCGCGCGAGGATCTGCTGAGCGCATCTGCGCTGTTTCACGGCGGTCCGGTGGCGCAAGCGCGAAGCCACGCGCCGGCTCCTGTCGCTAGGAATGTGCGCATGCGCTGTGTGGTCCGCGCCGGGCTGCGCACATGCGTGCCGCTGCCGGGCGTTGTGTTGAGGGAGCTGTCCGTTCGTGAGCATCGTTGGTAGACATTAGCAGGCAGGCTTGGCTTCCCTGCGGAATTTCCCTTCGCTTTGCGAAGGACTGTTAACGTACGAAGGAATGCTATTTAGACTCGTCCTACAGACGCGTTTCGTATGCTCAGTAGCTTTATCTCAGCGGGTTCTCTGCCGTGAGGGCACAGCGCACCGCCGCCTTTCTTTGCGCACAGCCCGCGCCTTGGAGTCTCGCTGTGGGGCGCAAACGGCGGCTGCGCTGTGCTGGTTAACGTGACCTGGCGCACGCTGCCAGGCCGGGAGCTCCGTCCTCACCCCCTGGGGCTTCAAGCTGGCGGGGGCCGCGGCCCGCCATGGCTGTGGACCTCTGGCAGTTCTGGGCGGCTCCGGTCGCCAGGTTCGTTGCTGTGTGAACACCTCCAAAAGGACGGCAGCAAAAACACAACTCCTTCCCATACCGGGAGTCGAACCCGGGCCGCCTGGGTGAAAACCAGGAATCCTAACCGCTAGACCATATGGGAGGCGCTGGTGAGACGTTTCTCAGTCCGCCTGAAAACGTTCGCTGTCCGCCGTTCTTTGGGTCCTCCACCCGGCGCTGTGCTGGATGTACCGAAACCCCTTCGGGCCGCCCTGTAAACACCGCGGGGTCGCTATCGAGTCGGCCGCCTGCAGACTGTGGCCGACCGCGCTGCCACCCCTCCTCCACACAGCCCACGGCACCAGGACGGCTGCCCTCACCCAACATGGCGGCCACAGCGTAACAGTTCCGCCCCTTCCTTCCCTTCGCCCCGCCCCTGCCGCCGTTGGCGGGGCCTCGTCACGTGATTTTGGAGGCGTGGTGGGAGCGGCGCTCACGTGACCGGCGCCGAGTCTCGTGAGCGCCGCGGGGCGGCCGCTGCCGGAGCGGGCGGGACCCCAGCGGCGCAGCGGGCTCACGCGAGGCCGTGGCTTTGAGGCCTGCTCCGGAGCGCGGGGCGCTCGGATCCGCTCAGTGCTGCGGGCAGCCCGGCGACGCGCCCCCGCGGCTCCCGCCGCCCGCGGGCATCGCCGAACCGGCCTGGGAGGTGCCCGGCGCGGATAGAGGTAGCGGGGCGCGGCGGGACCCGGGCTGCGCGGAGCCGTGCGGAGCCCGCGGGGCTGGGAGAGGCCGAGGCCCGGTGCTCCCGGTGGCCGCGGCCGGGCTACGCGGGAGCGGGGCGGTGGGGCGAGCGCTTGCGGTTCCCCTGCTTGGGCCTGCGGTCACGGCGATGCTGCTCATCGCGGGCGTGTGACGGGGCCCGCCTGCGGAGGGGCTGCTTCCCCTCCGGCCCCGCAGCGCGGAGCAGCGGCTGTCAGCACCCGGCCGGGCTGCGGCGGGGCGGGGGGTTCCCGTTTGCACGGAGCTGGGGCCGATAGGAGCTTGAGGCTGACTGCAGCCTGCGAGCGGGGCTGGAGCGGTGTAACAGTGCTGTTGTCTCTGCAGGGAGGTGATGCCGAGCACAGCCATGAAGAAAAAGGTAAGCGGTTTGATTTCTCTTCCCTGTCTGCATTTGCTAACGTGGCTATGTGTTCCCAGCTGTATCTTGGAGTTTTCTGTGGCTGTCAGCTGCCTCCTGAGGCTGTCACAGTGTTTGCTTATCATGCTGGAAACCGGCACCAAATTTGAGTTTGTTAGCTGGTATGAGGGCAGGCTGGCAGCAGAACTGCACATCCCCAGTAACGGCTGTGTGAGTATTTCTGGTAGGAGTTGCGAAAGCTGTCTGCTGACTGTGGGCTTCCTGCAGTGTCAGGGAAGAGGATGTGCCCCAACTTGCTCTGCCGGCCTGGGGAGACCCTCTGGGTGTTGCAGGAACTGGTGCGGGCAGCTCGTCACTGCTCTGAGGGCTCCTGGCAGGGCGAGGCCAAACGCAGGGTGAGGCATCAGAGCTATGCCTTGTGTGTCCCAGCAGTGAGCAAATGCAGATTAGCTCAGGCAGCGATGTGAGGAGCGCTCAGCTCTCATTCTGTGTTGCATGAGGATTGAGTTTCCTCTCTGGCCCTGTATGCTGGTGTCTGACCTCCCCGAAAGGCCACTGTAGCCTGATGCTTGGGAGTTAGGTTCCCTTGTAGGTTGGCTTGTGCTGCGTCTTGGAGCCACACTGAGTGTCTGAAGGTGATGTGAAGTAGGAGATGCTGCTGTTCTTTTCCTGTTCAGCATGGAGCTTTTTAGATTCTGGCTTCAGCTAGGCTGGTGGGTGTAACCTGAGTGACAAACTGCTTTGAGAAAAGCCTTTGTCATGAAACCACTAGGGCTCTTCTGAGCAAAATGGGGGACTCTGAGTAAATGTCCTGACTGCATGGTCAGTTCCTTATGAAAGGGGCCTTTGCTTCCTCTATGATGCTGCAGTTGCTCCCATAAGAGCACCTCGTACCACAGGGCGCTGCTGCGTGTGTTGCTCTGAGGCGCTTGCAGCAAGGTGAGGACTGAGCAAGCTGCTTCCCAGCCAGCCCTTGGCACTGGGGTAATGCACCAGTGCTGGTTGTACTCTCATTAAACTGATCCTTGACGATAGATTTTCAGAGCTGTTGCCAAAAGTTGGATTTGACTTTGTAACTGGAACTTGTTTCACAGCTGTTTTTGTGAGCAAGTCCACGTTGGCTGCCACTGGTTTTGTATTTATTTTTAGATCACGATGCAGAGTCTTGCCTTGTGTGATCGTTTTCCCCCTCTTCTCCACTCAGCCATCCTGTAGTTTTCTGCTGCCAGAGGTGCTGCTTCTCTTTTGGCCTGAGGATCTGTGGACTGGATTCTGGGTGGAGACTGTTTTCCCTGCATGGCAGCTTGCTGTGCCTGAGCTGGGCTGTTCCATTTGCTTTTAGCTTTCTGCTAGGGTTCTGACACCTGAAACTCATCATGGAACTTGTATTTCACCACTATCAGAGGAGAGAAACCAGACTGTGTTATGAAAAAGGAAAGAGCAAGATTAGGAGAGAAGTAATGAGTGGAGAATGCCAGTGCTGAGTAGGCAAGTGATTGCTTTCAGCATGGTTTTAATGGCTTGAGATAACTGTTTTTTTGCTCTCACTGAAAACATCAAGCCTTCACCACTGGTGACAGTGCATTTGGAAAACATTGCAGCCTGTGAAGGGCTGGGGAAAGAGGAGATTGGCAATGGGTCCTCTGCCATGGTGTGTAGGAAAAAGGGTTATGGGTAGCAGTGTCTGCAGGCTGGCTGAACTTTGAGTGTTACACACCACTATGGAAGGAGTGCAGTGCCTTGAAGGGCAGCGATTCCTGAGAGAGCAAAATAAAAAGGTGGGGGGCATGGTGTGGAGAATGCAGACAGGATGGAAAGGATTTTAGGACGTGAAACAAGGAGGTAATGCCATCTGCCTCCTGATTTCCCAGGTATGGTTCTCTTATGGTTTCAGTCTGTAGTACCAGTCAGGTCAATTGGTTGCTACAGCTGCAAGACGGGAGCCATGGAGAAGGCAGAGCTCTGTGGTAGCTAACTCTGTTTTTTCCGTCTCTGCAGGTGCTGCTGATGGGTAAAAGTGGGTCTGGGAAGACCAGCATGAGGTCCATTATCTTTGCAAACTACATTGCCAGAGACACACGACGCCTGGGTGCCACAAGTAAGGCTTCTTTTGTGTGAGCTGGGCATTCTCAAGGCTCCAACGCTGTACACTTGGAGGGGTGAGGCTGTTCCTCCAACTGGCCCTACCTTGCCTTTCCCCTGGCAGGAGCAGGGGATGCCTGCTGGTCATCACATCAAACTTCTGTCCGTGGTTCATCTGAGGTCAGATGGAGGCTGAAGTGAAAGAGAAAGGAATGCTGTATCCAATCTTGCTGCTTTATGGTTGGACTTTCATCCTTTTTTGATCAGTTGGCAGCCTCTGCTGCTACATGTGTTATTGGAGGAGTGCTCAGAGCCTCCTTGTGGTCCCTTTTTGGTGCTGACGCCTCTCTGCTGTGAGCCTGCTGATGGCTAGCCCAGCTGGAGGCACAGTGATCTTACCACGTGCCTGGGGTTTTGGCAGGATGATGCACTGATCTTAATTGGCTTCTTTTGCCTCTTTTTTTCCAAAGCCACTGATCTGAAAAAGCACTCAGTGGCTTGGATCACTGGGATCTAACGCTGTACTGTGAGGCACCCATGAGAATTGGTGTATGTGTCCTTGCTGTACACATTGCTGTACACTTTTCATTCTTTGTGCTACTGTATTCCGTTTTTTTTCTTTCTTTCTTTCTTCTAAGGTTAATTTAAAGCCTTGCAGAATATGCTGGAAGTATGTTGTTCTTAAAATACCACAAAAATCAGGAACATGTTCCTGAAAGGAAACTGCCTGCTGTGCTTCTCAGGAGAGCAGTCTCCTGGTTAGCAGCAGGAAGGCTTTGGTTACTAGGGGAGCTGCATTTATCTGTAGCATCTACAGCTATAGGTTTATGCACAGCAATGCTGTTTAGATGGAGTGCTATAAACTGTGGGCTGTATTGCAGAGAATGGCGTGGCTTCTTGAGCAGGCTCTGACCTGGGTGTGTGGCACAGCTAGTAATCTCCCTGTTGTCTCTTTTCAGTTGATGTGGAGCACTCTCATGTTAGATTTCTAGGAAACCTGGTATTAAACCTCTGGGACTGTGGAGGGTAGGTACTTTTTTTTTTTTCCCTTTTGAAACTGTTGTGGGTTAACTGTTGAATAAGATTGGGAACGTAACGACAGCAGGCACCCCAAGGCACTAGTATGCTTTTTGTGTGTGGAGAGTATAGAACAAGCTTTGTGCATGCCATGTGAAACTGGTGAGCCAGCTCTGGGAAGAGTGGATACCACATCTTAGGTTTGCGCATGAAGGCGGGTGGAAGAGGCTGGCCTGATTATTCCAGTCTTGCAGTCTGAGTTATCTCCACATGAAAGGTGTAGTGCATAGGCCCACCCTTTCATTGCTGGCTGCATTTTTTGTCTGGCAAAAAGCCTGAGACCTTCACCTGAAGTTTCTCTTGAAAATGGTGATGGTGGAGGTGATGCTGGTTTTGAACTGCATCTCACGAGTCTGATCCAAATGAGGTGCATGCTGAGAAGGGATGTGAAAGATTAATGGTGATTCTGTGGTTCCTAGAAGCAGCTTTTTAAGTAATGTTCCCATTGACAGAGCCTCAGCAGAGCTGTCAAACTTTGCTAAGCTTCAACAAATCTAATGTCCTTATGTTTTGTCTGAGCTGTATTCAGCAGAAGTTAGTCAGAATGCACTTAGATCTTGTAAAATGGTTTTAAACCTGATGGTTTTACTGCTGCTGTGGCTTTTTTTGTATGCAGCTCTTTAAAAGCAATGTAGCTTTGTTTGTGCTAGCCCTGAGCAGCAGCTATGTCCTGTAGGAAGCTTCTGTTTCTTATGAGAGACTGGGAAGCAGATGCTCTTCAGGGGTGTCCCACTGTGCTCAGTTGGAAATGCTTAGGGAGCCTTATATCCTGGGGAAGTTAGCTGTCTGTGGGGCTCTTTTTCTGGACTCCTGCAGTGGGGTTTGCAGATCAGTGCATAAACATCTCTAGCAGGAGATATTTTACAGCACTTTTCCTGAAGCCTGGTTGATCTAATGGGAGTCTCCTTGTTCTGTTGCTCTGCTGCTCCTCAGACAGGACACCTTTATGGAGAACTACTTCACCAGTCAACGGGACAACATCTTCCGCAACGTAGAGGTCCTCATCTATGTCTTTGATGTAGAAAGCCGTGAACTGGAGAAGGACATGCACTACTACCAGTCATGCTTGGAGGCAATTCTTCAGAACTCTCCTGATGCAAAGATCTTTTGCCTAGTGCACAAGATGGACTTGGTGCAGGAGGATCAGCGGGACTTGGTGAGAAGAAGCTGATAGTTGCCATAGAAATGCTGTCAAATCTTTTGACTCTGCTAAAGCATTGCTAGTTCATACCTCAGGCACAGCCCCATCAGCACTGTTCCTGGAAGGGATTCTCAGATGTTGAGAGCTGTTCGAGTCCTTTTCTGCCTTTCCAAACTGTATGTCAGTGCTGTCTCTTGCATGTAGTACAGCAGAGAAGAAAGCCTTTTCTTTTATAGCATCAATTGTAATGCTTTTAGCAGACCTTGGCTCCAGAGAGTAGGGAAGGAAGGTAAAACTGAAAGAAATCTGGTGAATTTGAACTCTCTTCTAACCATTTGGATGACTTTGAGGATTGCGGTGGTGACGAGTGATGGTTTCCTTTTCAGTCTCATTTAAGCACTGTTCTAAAGTGTAATAGAAACAAGGGTTGAAACTTTTCTTGGTTAACTAGAAAGAGGTTTTTACCAGTTGGTGCTTCTGCTTCCTGTTGTAAGCTGTTTACTGCAGCCCATTTGCCCAGAGGTCACTTCTTGATTTAACACTTAAGTGTTCCCGGAGGCACCCTGCAGAGGCCGAGGATCAGCCTCCCAGGGAGGTTTTGTTTGCTGCTCTCTTCGGGGCTTTTGGAAGGTTGCAGGGGGAATGGAAGATGGTGGGTTTCTACCAACATTGCTTTTTCAGCTATGGCTAAAAGCAACCAGCTCCTGATACCAAGGGAAAAAATACCTTGTGTGTTAGACATCTTGGCCTGGGAAGTGCATCCCCGGCTGCTTTGCACTCCCTGACCTGGAGCAAACTTGAAGGCTCCTTTAGGGTGTAGTATGAAGTCACTTTAAATGCTCTGGTTCCTGGTGAGTGTGTGCCTGGGCAGCAGCGAAGGCGGCTTTGCAAGGTCCCATGGCTGCATCCACTCCCTGACCTTCCTGCAGAGGCAGACTTCTTCCTCACAGCATTTTGGCTCCAGATTGCTTGTTCTCTGTCAGTGGTGGTTCTCCTTTCCTAGTTCACTCCAGCTCAGTGTAAAAATAGCTCAACAAGTTTGTTCATACGGTTGATTCCGGGACTTTTACCTCGCTTCCATCTCTTCCCTACAAACTGAATGGAGACTCTTATGATCTTTGTGATGCTGTTTTGTCCGTCTGGATTTATATAGTTGTGCAAATTCAAGCGAGGCCTTGAAGCGTTGGGTACACAGGCAGAAGATGGGCCTTACTTTGCGTATATTTTTAGTGCATATCATTGCACACCCATCAAAGCTGTTTTAAAGTGTCTGCTATTCAGAAGAACATGTGAAAAACTCTTGAACTGGGCCAAATCACTGTCCCTGTAAATCGTTGTTAAACCTTTGGTATCTCAGGCCCCAAGATGGTAAGTGTTGGCCTATGCAGCATGTCCTGGAGATCAGCTTGCTCTGTCATGTTCCTAAAAACAGTAAGGTGAGGTGAAGGTAGTCGTCATGCCTTCCCTTGCAGGATCACAGTGCCAGCTCTCTTGCTGCTTGCTTTTTTTTTTTTTTTTTTTTGCCACTTCTGCTAGACATTGGTGAAAGGCTGTCCTCTTTGTTTTACCCCTCTTTTTTTTGTAACTGTAACTTCTAAGGGCAGAACTTGATGGGAGAAGGCTGTATTCTTGCCTTGGTGCTGCTTTGTTAATGCAGTTCATAGCTGTGAAACTCTCTAGAGCTTCCCTTCTATTCTCTTCACAAAGAATCAGTTTTTTACATCTGACCAGGGACTTGTCAGATTTTGGGTCCTCTGTCAAGCTATGCACATACACTTCCATTTCCACTCCATAACACTGTAGTTATGCCAAGTTTGAATCTCCTGCTGTGTGACAGCCAAGGTCTGCTTGTCCCTGCTATCCTAGTGGGAGGGGTTTCTGACAGTCTGTCCTAGCAAGCAAGCTCTGCTGCTCTCTTTTCTCTAATGCTCTGTGTGCTTGAGTATTGTTTGACATATGTGCTAGAAATGCAGTACAGTAACCACACCAAAGGCCAAAATATTTACACTCAACTGCTAATCATTTTACTTCACAGATTTTTAAAGAGCGTGAGGAAGACTTGAGGCGCCTTTCCCGTCCTTTGGAATGTGCTTGTTTTAGGACTTCCATCTGGGATGAAACACTTTACAAGGTTTGTATGCTGTCCTCGCTGTATCTGGCCTTTCCTTCCTCTCATTTGAAAACAAGAGCATGAGGAGGGTGAGTGGTTAGTTGCTGACTGGCCCTTGTTAGGTCTACAGTGACTCCTGCTTCTGCAGGTTAGCTGTTGTAAATGGCATCATTTTGGGTTTAATTAAAAATAATTAAAAGCCCTCCATGTGTTGTGCTCACAGCATTTTTTAACTGCTTAAATGCTTTGCCTAGCCACTTTGTGGCTATTGAAGAGTTCACTTGGGAAAACAGATACCACCAGTAGCCCTCAGCATAGCAGACAGATGCACAGCGGGGTGGGAGAAGTCTTTCTGTCTTGTGTAAGCTATAAGTGCTCACAACTGCAAATGGTTTTTGAGCATGCTGTGTAACATGTGGGCCTGAGGCAGAAATGATAATGCAGTCCTTGTCTTTCTTTGTTGACAGGCTTGGTCCAGTATAGTCTATCAGCTGATCCCAAATGTCCAGCAGCTGGAGATGAACCTGAGGAATTTTGCTCAGATCATTGAGGCAGATGAAGTGCTTCTGTTTGAGAGAGCCACTTTCCTGGTGAATACAGCTGTTCGGCCCTTTGTGTTTCCCTGCCCAGCCTAGGACGGAGTTCCCTGGAAGGAAAGTGCTGTTGTGGCAGTTGCCCAAAGAGAGGTGCCGGCACCAGAATGCTTTGATCCAGGCCTTGTGATATTGAAAGTAACAGACGTGACTTGGTGGCTCATGTGACCTTCCCAAAATTTCCACATCTAGTTGCTGAGATGAGGGCTTAGTTGGTATTTCCCTCTTCCAGGCTGTGAAGGGGTTTCATATCCCCATTCTCTCGTTGGTCATGGGAGTTCTTTTGAGAATTCCTTTCTGCACAGGGCTTCTTAAGCTTGAACAAGTCTTTTCAGTTCCTCTTGGACTGGCTTTTTAACTCCTCCTTTTTTATCAAGTGCCTGGTGCTTTACAAACCTGGAGTTATGGATAGAGGATCACAAGCAATTGGGTTGCTGTGGGTTCTGAAGTTACCATCTGTGTGGTAACTGTGCTTCTAACCTGTTGTGTTCAAAAGGTAAAACGTGTTGGCTAAAACCACCATTGCTGCTTGACTTTCCATACTCTTAGTTTCTAGATTGGTCTCTTTGGACTTTATAACAATGCTGTTGCTGATCTGAAGAAATTGCTTTTCAAGTCTGAGTGCTTTCCTTGCCAAACAAAGGCTTGATTTTTGAAGTTACGGTGCTGTTTCTTTTCACTTCTGCTGTCAGAAGTAGACTTCTCCTGACAAGTTCTGCTTTTTGACCTTATGTAGATGATAAATAGTTTCACCTTGTTGATACGTAGTGGTATTTATTTGTACTCAAAAAATGCATTTTATTTACTGAAAAACAATTTTTGTAGCGAAGAATTCTGTACGGATTTCTCAGTGTAGTGGTGGCTTTTAAAGACTCTTCCCTTCTCACTGTTCTCATACATTTAAGCTTCTGCAGGGACTGCTTTCTCCTGCAGTGAAATCTTATTCTAAAATTGTATTCAAAGCCATAGTAACAGAAAAACCTGAAAAGTTGAGGAGAGATTGATACCAAAGCCTTCATGACATGCATGTGATTTTTGAATGTGGCTGAACTCGGACCTGTAGGAATAGCTGGGCAGGTGTATATGTAGAGAAGAGACAGTGGTTTTCTAAGCTCCTTGAGGAGGGGAAAAAAGAAAAGAAAAACAACCACAAAACAAATAAAAACAATCCCTTCTTAATTTCTGAAAGCCTGTTAAATATGGTTCCCTGGGTAGAAAATTGAGTTTAACACCTTTGTGCAGGGGTATGTTGATACTGATGCGTTCAGTAGCAGCTGGTTTCATCATTCTTATAAGCATAAAGCACACAGTGTAGTGTTCTTGAAATCATGCTCTTTTGGAGACTTCTGTGGGAATGAAGATGCAACAACTTGAATGTGTGCAATCCCACTTAATGCTGCAGATTCCCTCCTCGGCCAGTTGGCTGGCTTGGCTGGAGAGGAAAGGTCTGTAGGCTGCCAGCCTGTGGAAGCAGTGGGAGTGAGGCAGTTATGGATCATCTTGCAGTGACTCCTGAAAACTTGATCCTTTCCAATTCTGCAGCCTAGCAGTAAGGTCTGCACCTTGCTGCAGGATTTCTGTGTGGGAGGAGAAGGAGGGAAGTGCATTTGAGCACAGGCAACTTAGCACAACCTTAGTCTGAGTCAGGTGATGCAGAGAGAGCTCCCTAGGAAACAGCTGCCTTTGTTCCACTTGTCTGAGCTGGAGAAGAAAAGCTTGCTTTGGTTTGAGAGGTGGGCATCCTGCATGTTGCAGAGCAGCACACTTTTCAGGTTTGGTGTGTAGAAGTCTGCAGCATGATAGATGTAAATAAACTGTTCCAGCATTTGTCAGAGGTCTGTTTGCCTTCCCGGAGGTGGTGATTTTGCATTTCCCCACCTAGCACCTTCTTGTTCTTTGAAACAAGATTTAAATGGCTGCTAAGTTGGAGTATTCAGACCCCACATGGACAGGAATGCCTCTTACATATCATATGTTATTTTCATCTGCACTTGTTAAAGGCTTCCTGGGGATTGTATGACTGCGACCTTCTTTATGATGAAAGCACCGCTAGCGTTGCTGCAAATGGTTTCCAAAGGCAGAGGGAATCCCTGAGCTGGGCACCACCAATTTCTCGTAACTGTTGTTGAACATGAGAAAGCTGTACTGAAATCAGTAACTGACTCTGCACTCTTTCTGCCTTTCAGGTCATTTCTCACTATCAGTGCAAAGAACAGCGGGATATCCACAGATTTGAGAAAATCAGCAACATTATTAAACAATTTAAACTAAGTTGCAGGTGAGCTGGTTTAGTCAGTGGGTGGGAAAGATACCTTGGCAGGTGTTTCAGTTTCATGCTGAAGCAAGGAACCTCTCCAAATAAATCCTAGTTCTATGCCTCTTCAGCAGTCTGAGGATTTGTGTTAGTTGCTAGAAAGCACCATGTTTAAATATGTCAGAGCTTGTTATCTTTCCTAACTTCCTCCTGTGGTGATTGTTGAAAGAGGTGTGTTTTGAACAGCTGTTTTCTTCTGGGCCTTTTTTTCCTGCACAGAGTGGGGACATTCCAGGACTGATCTGGCAAACCCAAGATGGCTTGGGAAGAGATGGGGCTTGCAAACTCCAATTGTTAGTATTTTGAATTGAAAGATAGAAAGCTTACTTCAGAGTAGCTTGTCTTTTGAACCACCTTCAGGTGGTTCCACAGTTGGTCAGCAACATCCAGAAGTTTAGAGCCTGAACAGGGAAGAGAAGTGGCAGCATGCTATACAGAGCTGTCTCCAGATATTTCAGCTTTATGCTTACCCCCAGAGGGTGTAAACCTCTTTTGGAATGGTTGAACCATTACTTCAGAAGCGAGGATGGTGCTGACTGCTTGGGCACAGTGTCCTCAGAGAGGCAGAGTGGGGTTGTATATCTTGAGTTACAGACCTTCATTGATCAACACTCAGGTGGTTTTTGTTGCTCTTGTTGGTTCAATTAAGCCTAAAGGTAGAGCTTTTCCTTTAAATGAATTGTAATCTTATCTGGTGGTCATCCTGGCAAGCAACGCTTGCCAGTAAATGCAAATAAATGTGGGACATGGGGGAAAGTCTGTCTGAGCACTATTACAATAACAGTGCATTTACACTTTCTTTTTTCCTTTTTTTAGTAAGCTGGCGGCTTCTTTCCAGAGCATGGAGGTCAGGAATTCTAACTTTGCTGCTTTCATTGACATCTTCACATCAAATACATATGTGATGGTGGTTATGTCAGACCCTTCAATACGTAAGTTGAAGCAAAGATGAGCTGCTGGCCTGCTTTTATTCACAGAGATTAAAAAGCTCAGAATGCATTTATCAGAACACAGCAAATGCCAAACAAAGCGATGAAAGTGATTTAATTCAGAGGTACAGAGGGATCTGTCCCACTGCCTTCTCTGTCTGAGCAGTGGGAGGGGAAGGTGGTTAGAAGGTGACTTTGCAGAAGAGATCTGTGCCATTGAGGGTTGGGCTATTTGTTGCTGTCCAGCAGAGAATTGTAGCAACAGTAGGGAACCACTATAACAGATGTGACCTGACTTGATAGGTCATATCTAATAACCTATTTTGGGCTACTTTGATCTGGCAGCCACAGCGATTTTTTGAAAAGGAAGCAGAAGTGGATCCTGTGTGGTTTTTTTTTTTTGTTGTTCTTGCTGCCTGAATTGTCCTGGAGGGCAAGGGTTCTAATTATAGTAGCATCTGTTTATCTGAAGAACTTGGAGGCAGTGGTGCCAGAGGCACGTTTGAATACTTAGTTGTTTTCACAACTGTAGTTGAAGCTGTTAAGAATTAAAGGTGCTTGAGACCAGCCCACTGTCCTGGACAGCTGTGTGACTTACAGCTGTTATTCTGGAAGAGGACAGGAAGATTGTTTTACTGGATTAGGGAAAACCTGTGTGAACTCTGCAACCCTGAGTGAACTATTGAGCTGTGATGTTGCTGTGCTTGAGAGGCAGATGAGAAGCTGAGTGATTTCTACATTGCCATGTGAACAGACTAAATAGGTGTAGTAGATCAGCAGGCACCCCACACCTTCCAGCATTGTGTTTGTACAGCTAGGGAGCGGGAGGGTTGATCCCTGAGCTTGTTGGTTGGGATGTTGGTGCTCTTTGAGCATTGCTCCCCCTAGGGAAGATCCGGTTTCACTCTGTATCACTTCTCCAAATTGAAGTGAAATCTAGTACTGGGCACTGCAGGTAGAAGCTGTAGAACACCTGGCCCTCTGCTGAACACCCTGTAGTTGTCATAGAGTTCAGAAGCGTGAACCGAGGCTACCCAGGGATGTGGGTTCAGTTTTGCTAATAGGAACTCAAATACCTGCTGTCCTCAGGCAGCTTTCAGGCAGTGCTTCTGAGGGTTTATTTCTCACATCCTTTCTGTTTTTCTCCCCTTCCTGTCCCTTCTCCATCCTAGCTTCTGCAGCTACGCTGATCAACATCCGCAATGCCAGAAAACACTTTGAGAAGCTGGAGAGAGTGGATGGACCAAAGCACAGCCTGCTTATGCGCTGAACATTGGCCAATGCACATGGTCTTTGGCAGGAGAAGGAGTGGATTGGAACTACTTTTTTTTTTTTTTAGGAGAATCTAACAATGTGGATGTATTTGTGGGCTTTGAAATGAGTGTGCTGCTTACCATCGCAATCTTTATTGTTTCTCCTTTTAACGTTGGACACTATCACACAGATGGTCTGGATACACTGCGGACCTTCAAAAGAGACTCCTGGCATTTATGGGGTTGGGAAGAAGTAAGGACAGGTGATGTGCACGTGGTCTCATGCTCCTGGTTGTCAGTGGCATGTGGCAGAGCCTTTTTGGATGTTTGCTCCCAGGTGATGGTACAAATCACAGGGATGAAGTATTTACTATTTTATTGGTAGGTTGCTAGAATACATTTATAAATTTCTCCTTGTCTTCAGTCATGAAAATAAATTTTTGCTACCAGGGATTTCAGATCCTGGAGCTTTGGAAAGTGGGTTTTCTTTCTTCTAAAACCCAGGGCAGCTTTGGCAAGCAGATGTGTAACAGCTGTGTTTTTCCTTTCACAGTGTTCTGGGGGGCACTGACTGAAGGTCATTCCAAAGTTTCATTTGAGGTTTTCTTTTTTCCATGCTGAGGCAAAATTTGCAGGTGGAGCAGTCAGGATGACATTGGCCTTTCGACACTTTCTGGAAAGATAACAGTAAAGAGGAACCAAAGGCCAAGCAGCAGTAGTCCTGGCATGTTCGGTCTCCCTGCTGGGGATGATATAGGTGCACAGTATCTGAAGGATGTGGCAGCTCTGGGCCATGTGTGCATGAGCTATATTAGCTGTGTTTGTCAGTTGGGCAGTGTCTGGCACCAGTATGCCTTGACATTAAGTCCACTTTAAATGAATTCTTGTGTGTGGTTCAGTTAAACATAGGAAGAACGAAAGTGCTGTGAGTTAGGGGAATCTGACTTGGGTGGGAGCTGATGCTTGTCAGCGTCTCTTCCTTTATTTCTTGCATCCAATTACTCCATAAATGAGGGTGTGGTGACTCAGCCTGGCACTCCACTCTGCATTCACAAAATCATGCTTTCCCCCTGCATCTCTGGCCCACACACTGGGAAAATACCTGCAAGGGTGAGCCTGTGATATGGGACATAAGAGCAAAAGGGCAGATCTCAGCTGGAGAGCTGAGGCTGGGCTGCACACAAGATCTTCCATTGATTCTAAATCTTCGTGGTATTAAACACCCATGTCTTGCACCACCTACTCAGCAGATGTGTTTGTGATCTGTAGGGCTGGGATTGTGTTCAATGAGGATCATCAAGGAAGTATCTCTGTAGGAGAGAAGCATAGGTGCTGGTTACAAATTGAAATGCCAGAGTTTCAAGGGAGCTTCTGAATGGGTTTGGGATGCAGCAGAGGGTTTCTGTTTGTCTTCAGTGCTTGCAGGTTCCTGTGCTGGAATGGGAGCAGCAGATCTCATGCACTGTGTGGCTGCTTTTTGATGGGCTGGAGTGAGCCGATCGCAGCTGCAGGTCCTCCTATGGATGCTCCCACAGTGCTCTGAGGTCAGTCCCTGCTTCTGCTCTCATTGTGGCTTTCTGCACCCAAGCCCTGTCCAGCAGAGGAGGAGGATGGCATGCTGTCAGAGCCTCAGAAAGGTTGGTGTCAGGTGCCTCCAAGAGCTGTGTGTGCAGGAGATGGACTGAGAGCTGCAGTGCTGGTGTGGATCCCAGCACTTTCTGCTCAGATTACTTTCTCCTAGCAGGCAGCTGTTCTGCAATGGATGAGGCCAGGATGGAGGGAAACGCTGCCTTATTTCCATGGTTACAAACCAAGCAGGGTTATCTCGTGCTGTGTGTGAGAGCAGACTGGGAGGTGCCACTGTGTTTCTTTGCAGGATAAACTGCTTGGTGTGTGAAAGTGGGATGGTGCTGGGGGTAAGTGTGTGTGGGGGGGGGAGGGGGAGAGAAGCAGGTAATGGTGGTGTGGGGGGAGCTGATCAGAAACAGGGGAGCAAAGTGCTGTTGCAGGTGTCCTGGCTCACTGAGCCTCCGCAGTCAGCGATACGATGACAGTGGCTGAAGTGCTGCTGTTCTCTTATTCAGAATGTGTTTTCCTCAAGCGTATGCATTTTGGGGGGTTCTTTGGAAATCAATAGTTTGCTCTCTGGCAGAAGTGCTGCTGGTGCTTCTCTGTGCATAAGATGTCAAGCAAGTAGCTGCAAGTGCTGATGGAAATAAGCTGATGGTTTGATTTCAAGGTGACACATCTTTTGGAGGAACCATGTTATGTTTGTCTCTCTCCTAAAAGAACACCTGGGGGCCTTTTCTGGAGCTTGGAGTTGCTGCCAGCAGAACAAGCAGGTTTGGTGGGCCAGGTACCCTCATCCTGCTTTCCAGTACATTCCTCTTGGGTACTGGGGGCAGTGGCAAGCTCCCCTCCTGCTCCTGGAAGCTTTGCAGAATCTTGCCATCCTAAACAATCGATGTTGCACACATCTGGTCCCGGAGTGCCAAGCTCTGCTCTTGGTCAGGTTTTAGAGGTCCATCCTTTGAGGCCTGTCCATCGAAACAGTCAACATTCCATGTTGTGATTGTCACCAGTATTTTGAGCACAGCAGATTCCCCACTTAGCCCCATTTCCAAATAGCAGGGACTGCTGTGAGACCGAGGAGCAAACTGCAGGGCTGCTGGGAGCTTGGCTGTCCTCCCTGCAGCAGGGAGTGCCACTGTCTGCTCTTTGCTTGTGGGTTTTCTGACTGCTTCCTTCCTGCTGCTTGGACTGAAGGAAGCACAGGCGAAAAGAATTTCATTTTTGTATTTTTAACAAAATGATATCTTTGAAAATGGGAGCTGAAACTGAATGATTCCTTGCTGTGTTTTGAGGAGTTAATGCCTCAAATGGAGTTATCTGTGCTCCTTGTCCCTTCCAAGTGAGGTCTCTGAATCTGGGCTGTCTTCCACTGTCCCTTGTAGTAAAATGGTGGGAACTGACCCACTGTGCCAAGCCCCAGATGGTTACACGAGCAGTTTGGCACAGTTGGATGTGGCCTTCCCACACATGGGTGCCTCCATTGGGCATCATCCTGTCCCATTTTGTCTTTCCTTTGCCCTGTCAGGGCCATGTGCTGCTGGGGCTTAGCATGGTGGTGCCACATCATGGATCAGCTGGGTTAAGGCCACCAAGGGGAGACTTGAGGACCACTGTGTGTTCAGGAGGACGTGGCAAAGCCAGGGCTCTGCAGTGGTGAAATGTCAGCTTTGGCCAGAGCGGGGATAGGGCTGGGTGTGTGGGTGAGTATTTGGGTGTGTGAAGAGAGGAGCAGGTGGGGGGGAGGGGGTGGCATGGGTGGTTGGAAGGGTAAGGTGGGATTAGATGGTTATAGAGGGAGGTACGTGGAAGGATGGATGTGTGATTAGAAGGGGATGAGGGTGGGGAAGGAAGGGTGGATGGATGGGGTATGAGTAAGGATGGAGAGAGAGGTGGATACGGGGGTGGGACAGCGTAGCGTGCATGTGTGGAAGGATGAGTGTACGATGGTTGCACGAAGGGACGGTTGGATGTGTACACAGGGTCTGTATAGTGTATGCAGTTTGGTGTGTGAAAGGGGGGGCTGGGCTGGGTAGAGGAAAGGGCAGACAGTAAGCAACGCTACTCCGGGCGCGTAGTGGGAGTGCCCTGTCCCACCGAAGGCTGGGGGACGCAGCCGTCCCAGCCGTTAGGAACGCTGCGGGGACGAGGGGCCGTTTCCCAGCTGCAAACCCGCCCAATTCCCCCCGGACGCTGTGCTCCAGCCCCCGGCAGGGCGGCAGCTCCGCGGGGAGACCGCGACACCCCCAGCCAGGCACGGACGTCCCCCGTTGTTTTTGGCGGGGTACGGCGCTGCCATCCCTGCTGCGAGGCTCCCAAGCCCCGGCTCGGCCCGGCTGCCGCCTCCCGACGTTTTGGGGGGTCTCCCTCGTGGCACGGCCCCATCCCCGAACCCCGCATCCGTTTCCACGGTAACGCGGCCGCGCGGGGAGCCGCCCATTGGCTGCCGCGGCCGCTGATGTCACTTTTGGGGGCGCCCCGGTGTTGGGGGATGGGGTGGGGTGTGGGCGTACCTCGGCGCGGCCCCGCCCCTCCCCGCCCGTGGGCGCGGCGCGGCCCCACCCGCCCCGCCCGGCACCGCCCGGGGCCCGGGCAGCGCGGCGATGCACTGCGAGGAGGCGCGCGGCAAAGTGAGTGCGGCCGGGCCGTGCGGGCGGGGGGCGGTGAGGCCACCTCCATCTTCCACCGAGTCTTAAAGGGGCAGCGCGTGCCCCGCGGGGGGGCTCGGCCCGGCTCCGGTACGTCCCGCCCGTGCCGCTCGGTGCCTTCTCGGGGCGGCGGCCGGGGGCGGGCCCGGGCGTGCGGTGGGGGCCATTTTGTGAACGGGGCGGGGGGAAGCGGGGGGGGGCGCGCGGTTCTGCGCGGGGGGTGACGGAAGGCTCCGCTGTGCCCGCGGCGCCTTTAAGAGCGGCCCCGCTGCGGGGCGCGCGCCGGGAAGGTCACAGCGGGGGAGAGCGGGGCGGGGGGGGCGGGGGTGCGAGGCGCGACGTCGCCGTGAGCGCGCCCCGCCCCACCTCACCCCCCCACGCCCTTTGCTCTTAAAGGGCCATGCCCGGGGCTGGGTCCAGAGAGCCCGGCGGGACGCCGTGGGGCGAACGGGACCCTCTCCTCCTCCTCTTTCACCCCCGGCTGTGCCTCCTCCACCCCTCCCTCCTCCCGGTTCCGTCCCGACCTCCGGCACCGCGGGCGAGGCGGGGCGGAAATTCCTGGGGGGGGCGTGGCCGGGCCACCCTCCCCCGGGGCGCTTCGGCCCCCCCCGGCACGGCTGTCGGGGAGGGGGGGCAGGAACCTAAACGAGATCGGGAGGGGTGATTCCCCCCCCGAAGCGTTCCGTCGGGGTCGCACGGCAGGGTGGATCCCCTCCCTCGTGCCTTTTGGGCGGGAATGTATGGATGCTATAGGAGTGCTATAGGAGCCGGTCCCTATAGGTGAGGCTGAGCCCCCTCCTCCCCCGCCATAAGACCCTATGGTCCCGTTGAGTTCCCCCTCCCGTTCCCGCGGTGGGAAATCGGCAGCGGGACCCTCCGAGCACGCCTCGCTACACCCCAACCCCGAATCGGGGTGCGGTGTACCGCTGAGCCGGCGCCGGGGGGACCCGAAGGAGGGGACGGCCCTTTGTGCCCTCCCGTGGCTGTAGGGTCCGTGAGTGCGCCCAGCTCCAGGGGTCCTTGCCCGCGTCCCACCCATCCCCAAAGGAGCGCTGGGCGGCTCCGCGTGTGCGGGGCGTGTGCGGACCGGGCGTGCCCGGGCGGGGACACGCGTGGGTGTGGGTGTGCGGGGCCGTGGGCCGCTCTGCGCCCGCAGCAAGGTGCGTAACTGGGGGTCGGCCGGCTGGGAAGGGGTCGTGCGCCGCGGTGGTCCCAGCGTTCGGGGGTCGTGCGCCCGTTGGGGCGGTTGCTGGGGGCGGCTCCGTGCGGTGCCCGCGGGGCCGGGCCGTGCCCGCAGCCCCTCCCTGCTGCTCGCCCGCCGCGGCCGGGCCCTTTTAAGGAGCTCCACCCCGGGCCGAGCCAGGGTGGAGCCGTGAGGCTATTCGCACCTCCCGCGCGGCACGGCACGGCACGGCACGGAGCGGCGCGGCGCGGCGCGGCGCGGGCCGGGAGCATGATCCTGCCCGCCGAGGGGATGAGCGCCGCGCATTCGCGGAGGAGCCCCCCCCGCGGAGCCTGGCGGGTGAGCGGCCCCTTTAAGAGGAAGGGGTGTGTGCGGTGGGGGGGGGTTGGGAGGGTCGGTTGAGGGCAGCGCGGCCCCTTTAAGGCGCGGGGGAGGGGAGCGGGGTGGGGTGGATGGGTGTTGGCCCCGCCCCCGGCCCCCTGCGGCCCCGCCCCTCCATCACAAAGGCGCGTGGGGGCAGCGGTTGGAACAGGTGCGGGGCTGCCGGTTTCCCCCCCCCCCTGCAGTGGGTTATGGTGAGCAGCGAGTTGGTGAATTGATGAACGCGTTAATTAGCGAATGAGCGGGGCGGCGTCTGGGCGCAGAGCGCTCTGACACCCCCCTGCTCCCCCCAGTTTTGGCAGGCGGGAGGCTCGGGGCGGGGCAAAGCGGCCCCCAGGATGAGCTCGTCCTCGCTGCTGGCCGAGGCGCCGCTGGAGCCCCCCGTGCTGCTGACCGACATCAAGACGGAGCCCCCCGAGGAGCTGCTGGCCTCCGACTGCAGCCAGCCCCAGGCTGAGCCCGTCGACCTCTCCCTCAACAAGTCCAAGGCCCCCCCGCCGCCGCCCCCCGTGCAGTCCTCGCCCCTGCTGGTGGCCCCCCCGGTCCCCGCGCCCACCATCTCCATCGCGTCCTCGGGGCTCGGCACCACCTCAGCCATCCCGGCCGTGCTGTCGCCCGGCTCCATCCTGGCATCGTCGCAGGGCAGCGGCGGGCAGCAGATCCTGCACGTCATCCACACCATCCCTTCCGTCAACCTGCCCAGCAAGATGGGCAACCTGCAGACCATCCCCGTGGTCGTGCAGTCGCTGCCCGTCGTCTACACCACCATGCCGACCGATGGCGTCACCGCCATCACCGTCCCGCTCATCGGGGGCGACGGCAAGAACACCGGCTCCGGTAAGGGGCTTGTCGAGGTGTTTGGGACCCCTGTTCTGTGGGCCCGGCGTGGTCCTGACACAGCCGTAAGATGTGTCCCCGTCTGGTAGGACACATCCCCTGCAGGGAACCCAGTTCTCCACCCAAGGACTCCCCAGGACCATCGGTAGCTTAACCTCCAGAAGGTCTCCCCAGGCCCCAGCATGGGACAACAGAAGCCCAGAGGCAGCCCAGCTCTGGCCATCCGCCTGTGCTGAGCAGGGGACAGGGAGGTGCTGCTGGCTGCCTGCCTGCCCGTCCCGCCCAGCTCCACTTTCAGTCCCCGCTGTGTCCCCATTCCCCGAGGGCGGGGTGCCCTGGATGTTCCCCGTTTTGGGAAGGAAGAGGTGTCCTCAGGCTGCACCCCCCCCATCCCCCATAGCACTGTGCCAAACCCCCACGGCACGGGGTCACCTCTCTGCCCCAGATCGATGTGGGGTCGTGGCGGGGTGGGCTGAGCCCTGCGGCGCGGTGGCTTTTCTGGGAGGTCGGTGATGTCTGTCCGCACGCTTCGCTCACCAGCCTCCCCCACCCCGTCCCTCCTTGCTCCTCAATAGCTTTTCTTTCCCACCCCCGCAGTGAAAATGGACCCGGGCGCCATGTACCCCATGGACATGCCGAGTGACAGCGAGGACAGCGCCTCGGAGAGCGGCCCTGCGCCCTTCCAGGACCTGCAGCGAGAGTGAGTGCGCCCGCGGGTGCCATCCCCGTCCCCGGGGCGGACAGCCCGGTGGGGGCCGCCACTCACAGCCATCCCTCCGCCCTTCCCCAGGTCCGCCACGCCGCGCCTGCCCCGCGCCGACTCCCCCGACCTGAAGAAGCGGCGGATCCACCAGTGTGACTTTGAGGGCTGCAACAAGGTGTACACCAAGAGCTCTCATCTCAAGGCCCACCGGCGGATACACACGGGTACGTGGGGGGGCGGGTCGGGGGAGGCAGTGGGGCTCGGTGCCCTGCTCGGGGGGGGGCTTTAACGGGGCGCTCTGCCCCGGCGCAGCCCCAGCTGCGGGCCGGGAGGGGTCGGGGTGTGGAGGGGCGCGGCGCCGTTACGCCCCGTGCTGCCGCTCCGGGCGGGTACCGTAGTGCCCCTAATGCGCGCCCGCACTGCGCGCCACCGCCGCGGGGGTGGTACCGTAGGGCACCTAATATACGCCCACACCGGGCGCCGCGTTTAGGGGGCGTTACCGTAGCGCTCCTAATGCGCGGGAGCGTACAGCCGCACGAGGGCATTGCTGCTCGGGGAAGGAATGACAGCCGGACGGACTTGACAGGCTAGAAAAGTGGGCCTGTGGGAACCTAATGAGGTTCAACGAGGCCAAGTGCTAGATATTGTGTTTGGGTCGGGCGATGCCAGGTATGTGCACAGGCTGGGAGAAGAGCTGCTTGAGAGCAGCCCCTGTGCTCTGCCCTTGTGAGGCCCCATCTGCAGGACTGTACTGAGGGCTGCAGACCAGGAAAGACGTGAAGCTGTAGGAGCAGGTCCAGAGGAGGGCTGTGAAGGTGATCAGAGGACTTGAGCAGCTCAATGAAGAAAGGCTGAGAGAGCTGGGGGCGGTCAGACTGGAGAAGGCTCCAGTGGGACCTCATTGCAGCCTTCCAGTACATGAAAAGTGCTTATAAGCAACTTTCTGTATGATCTGATAGCAATAGGACAAACGGAAACAGTTTTAAACTAAAAGAGGGGAAACTTAGTTTAGATATTGGGTGGTAATTCTTCAGTCACAGGGTGGTGAGGCCCTGGCACAGCTGCCCAGAGAGCTGTGGGTGCCCCATCCCTGGAAGTACTCAAGGCCCGGTGGGATGGGACCCTGAGCCGCCTGAGCTGGAGAGGAGCAACCAGCCCATGGCAGGGGTTGGGACCAAATGGGCTTAAGGTCCTTTCCAGCTCAACACCTCTGTGATTCTATCTATGATCATGGTGCAGCTAACGAGGCTACAGCACAGCTGTTTTAGGGGTGTTACCGTGGTGCAGCTAATAGGCAGCCACACGTGACGCACAGCCGTGCTGGGGCACCGCTCCGTGAAGGGGTGTTACCGTAATGCACACCTATACTGGGAAACCATTGCTTTAGGGGCGTTACCGTATTGCACCTACTGCACGCCCACAACGGGGAGCCACTCCTTTATGTGCGGTACCGTATTGCACCTAACGCACGCCCCCAGGTGGCACGGCGTCCAGCCGGTGGCGCCCGCGGCTCGTGCTACGCCGCGGAAGGGCGGACGAGGAGGGCTGGAGGGCGGTGGCTGCTGGGCACAACCCGCTTCCGTGCTGACCCCCGCTCCCCGCAGGCGAGAAGCCCTACAAGTGCACCTGGGAGGGCTGCACCTGGAAGTTCGCCCGTTCCGATGAGCTGACCCGGCATTTCCGCAAGCACACGGGCATCAAGCCCTTCCGCTGCTCGGACTGCGACCGCAGCTTCTCCCGTTCCGACCACCTGGCCCTGCACCGCCGGCGACACATCATGATGTGAGGAGCCCAGCACGGGGAGCGGGGAGACGGAGGCAGCCTCGCTCCCTGCGTGCGGCTGAGGGACTGCGGGGCTGGCGGCGAGCGAGCCCTGCACCGGTGCGGGATGGTCTCCGGGACGTGCTCCTCTTCTTCTGGACCTCTCCTCCCCGCTGGCAACGCCCGGAGGCTCCTCTCGCCGCGATCTCCCGGCCTCCCCCCTGGCCCTGCGCGCTCACCTTCCCACGGGCGGTGCGGACGCAGCCACAGCCGAGGTGGGGAGACGTCCAGCCTTGTGTCTGCCTCCTTCCAGCCCACCTGCATTGCCTCGTCCCGTGCCGAGGGACGGGGAGAAAGGAAAAACAAAAGGGGGAGGACAGAAAGAACCCTGACCCACCCATAAGAGCACCGCCGCCAGGAAAAGGGAAACTTTGCGGAACGTGGAACTGTGATTTTATGGAGTTCTAAGGGGGGTGGGGGGTGGGGGGGATCACGCCGGCTTTCAGTTTTCGGAGACTATGGGACAGTTGAACCATTTATAAGTTAAAAAGGCATCAGCCTCCCTACGGACTGTGGCCACGCACTTTTCTTTGTAATTGTAATTGTTGTTTTTGTGGGGTTGGCCCGGCTCCTGTGCTGAGAGGGCAGCGGGGTGTGGGGCTGTGGGGGGGGGGGGGTGAGCGAGGGGACTGTGACCCTCAGGGCCGCTTGAAGGGAGGAGCTTCAAAAAGTTGCTCTAAAGCTTCGGGAGGAGGCAGAGCCCTTCGCTCCATGGCTCTCTTGGGGGCTTTTCCTCTCTGTGTATGTGTGTCTGTGTGTCCCCATCACATTCCCTATCCCAGAGCAGCATTCCCCATCTGATCTGAATGCTTGGTGGTGGGGGACAGCCCTACATCCTTCCCTGCAGCCTTGGGGAGACCCATGCAGCCCTGGATCAGGAGCTAAGGACAGTGCTTGGGGGCCAGCACCACTGATGGCCCACAGCAAAGGTCTGCCCTGCAAATCTGCCCAGGACAGCTGGGATGGCGGTGGAACCCTTTGGGGTGAAGGAGTGGGGACTTTTTTTTTTTTTTTTTTAAACCATGGGATTTAAAACTCCTGAGCTGTGATATTTGTATGAAACCATTTGACGTTTTTCTACAGGGGAATAACATTGGAAGCAGAGGAGCCTGGTGGTGTGTGTCTGTGCTGCAGCAACGGCAGACTGAGCACTGGGGATGAGCATGGTTGGGCTTCACCATCTCCTTTGCAGGGTTTCCAAGTTCCTCCTCTGAGGTTTTATTGAAAAGCAAGCGGTCTAAAAAAAGGAAAAAACTAAAAAAACCTAAATTGGGTGCTTTAGCTGCAACCCGTCTTGGCTTAGGTGCACCAAGAGGAGAGCTGATATGTGGAGGGGAAATTGACTGCACCAATGATGGAGACATGAAGGATGCAACATGCACATCCCCACACTGCCTGTCCCAGCTGCCCATCACGGCTCCGTCATTTCCCACTGCAGGCTGGGCATGGCCTTGTGCTTGAGGAGGGTGCCTGGATCCTGCTGGGCTCCCACCTCCTCCCTTAATATCCCGTCTCTGTCAGCCCCATCCCCTGTCCCCTCAGGGCACTAATCACCTTTAATTGCTCTGAGCATCCTCACTCCACCAACCCTCCTGAGCCCAGGGTTCTCATGGAGCTCCCTCACCTTCCTGAGCTGTGCTGTGGTGTGCTGGCCATGGACCACAACCTGTGGGCTGACATCAGGGCTGCCCTGTCCCCATGGACCTGCCTGGTGGTCACCTAGACCTGCTGAGTCTCTGTGGGAGCTGCTGGCCTTCTCTGTGCCCAATGCATGGGGACACACGCCTCATGACCTCCTCTGTGAGGCTTACGGACCCGAAGGCCTCCAAGATGTGCTCTGGAGGCTGCAGGTAAACATCTCAGCCTGGTGATGTTCACAGGTGACTTCCCCATCTGTCTGGAAGCCCCAACGCCTCCTTGCAGCCAGTCAGTAGCCTCTCTGGTCCCCACCTCTACAACGGCAAGGTGAGCCCCAGAGACGTTCGGATTGACTTGTTCCTTGGGGCAAGAAACGGGGCCCAGCCAAGCTCAGTGACCCCAGACCCTTCCCTATGTCTCCTGGTTCCTTCTTGAGACAGCAATCCTGACCCACTCTCCTTCCAACACTGTGCTGAGGTGACCACAGCACCTGCAGACCCTGCCTGGACAGCAGCAAGGATCTAGGCTTCAGGTTGGCTTCACCACGGCTCTTCTCATTGGCTTCCCGATGGGAACTGGGTGCTGATCTTCCAGGTGGGGGGCGAGCGGTTGACCCCACATTGCCCCATTTCTCCCCCAGGCTGTGGGGTCGCCCCGTGCTGTGGGGTCACCTCGGTTCGTGGTTCTGGGGGGCCGGGGGCCTCCTGCCCACACTCACCGGACTGGTTTAGCAAGAGGAGGGGCAGCCGCCTGCTTTGAAGGGCTCCCTGGAAAGGTTCGATGGCCGCAGGAGAAAGGAGAAGGCAGGAGAGGTGGTTTTGGGTTTCAGCGGGGGAGCGGGCAGCCCTGCAGAGCTTTGTCTGCTGCTGGTGGAGAAAAGGAACCCGGGGGATCCTCCTGCGTGGGGCTCCCCACAGCCTCTGAGCCAGAACAGCTGCACCCGAGGGGAGGTGAATGTGGGGAGGATTGGGGACCGTGCAGAGAGGTGGGCGCTGCCCTCAGCTGCGGTTTGGGGATGCTCAGCCCCCGGGTAGAGCTGTGCACCAGGAGACCTCCGTGCCTGGGAGAAGGGGCAGGAGCCCTCGCACTGCAAGGGCAGAGCTCTGCCTGCTGGGGGAACGGGGCCGCAGGGGAAACGGGTTGGGGCTTTTTTGGCTAGAGAGGCAATCTGTATTCCTGTGTTTTCCAGTTTTGGGCACTCCTGATATTTTTTTTTTTCTTTGCCCTCCTTAAAAAGGGATGACTTCAAAAACAACCTGGCCGTAATTGCAAAAGAAAAAGGAATCCACAAAAAAGACAAACGTGAACTGGGCATAATTGCAAAAAAAAGCCAAAACATAAAACACCAACCCAAACCAAACAAGGCATAATTACGAGAAATCCTGGGTGTGATCGCTTGGCCTTTCCGTCAGAGCTCAGGAGGAAAGCTCTGTGCCCTCACACTCGCACCTTTAAAACTTTTTTAAGACACTGTTTAAAGCTTCGAACGAAACGAGGGAAAAATAAAGTGAACTCCTTCCCCCCTCACCCACTCGCTTTCCTTTTCACCCGTCTCCGCAGCCGAGCGCTGAGGAAGGAGGACCCCCGCCCCACGTGGAGCCCCCCAGGCTGAGCGCACCCCGACCGACCCACCCCGCTGCCGCCGTCCCGTGCCGGGTCCCCGCGGGACCGAGCGGAGTCGGGCGCGCCCCGAGGCCGCTTTTATCCGCCCGGGGCCGGCAGCGGGGCCGCGGCGGGGCCTGATTGGCCCGGCCCGGCCCGGCCCGGCCTCACCGCGCTGCAGGTCGGCGATCTCCTCCTCCGAGCCCAGGTAAAGCCTTCCCCGGCACCCGGCTCCCAGCCAGCTCCGGGGCCGCACTGCCGGCGTCTTCTCCTTCCCCACCCTTCCTTCCCTTTTTTTTTTCGCCTTCTATTCCCAACCCCCTTTTTTTT